CGGAGGAAGGACCCCGAGGTGTTTCAGACGGTCAGCGAAGGCCTGAAAAAGCTCTACAAAACCAAGCTTCTCCCCCTGGAAGAGCACTACAAGTTCCACGAGTTCCACTCGCCGGCCCTGGAGGATGCCGACTTCGACAACAAGCCCATGGTGCTCCTCGTGGGGCAGTACTCCACTGGGAAGACCACCTTCATCAGGTAAAACCCGGCCACCTGCGTCCCTCCTCCGCGGGCATGCCTGCACCCTTCATGCCCGTGAGGCAAAAGGGATCTCTGGTACCTGTGCTATGCTTGGATCCCTCTTCTGTTCCCCCTTCTGTGTTCCTGGTGCCCATCATCAGCTTTCAGTTGAAAAGCAACCTGCACTCAAGACTCTTTAAGAGTGGTCCTTCGCAAGGACAGGTAGTGTGAGATGTCTCTTGAAACACCCGACGTGGCAAAAAGTAGCCCAGGGCAGGGCTGAGGAGTGCAGGCAGGGTGTTAGCATGGAGACATGAGTCACTTGGGGCCCTCTTGTCCGTCCAAAGTGCAAAGGCTGTGGGAAGTTTCACACAGGGTATTCTCCGCACTGCTCAGGTCAGGGTGGCTCTTCTAACATCCATTCTTTTCAACTTCATGTATCTTTTGGGTGGTGGGATAACCTCTGGCCTAGGGAACCTTAAAGTGAGTGCTTGGGCTTGTAGTGGTCTGTATCTGACCCTTCTCTTTCTTTGCCTGCCCTATGATCCAGAGGCAATGCTCAGAGCCTAGTTTGAGGAGCATGTGTGCTCGGGTGGGTGCCTGTGAGCATGAAAGAGATCTGCCCGTCTTCAGGACTCTGAAAGTAAGCCCTGTTTAGTGTCCTGCCCTGCTGAAATGGTGGGACCAGCAAGCTCATTCCTAACTGTAAAGAAAGGGCAGCTGTCAGCAGCAGATTTGATGTGAAATTGTCAAAGAGAGGGTTAAACTTTTCCAGCTGAACTTGGTTGGAGGGACTGCTGTTCAGCCACACTGCTAGTTCGACTTGTAGCAGCCTTTCTCTTGGGATCATAGCTGAAGCTGCGTTGTCTGCGTTTCCTATGTGATTCATAAGCTTAGCATTAAATTCCAGCCTTTTTCTGGTGTGGCTGTGTTGAAATCCACAGAATTACCCCAGTGTAAATCTGGACATAAGCCACAAGCAGACAGCCCTTTGTTCAACCAGTATTTCTTGGTGGAGGAGGGAGCTGTGGAGAGTAGAGAGGTGTGAATCAAATTGTACCTCAAGTGACCTTGAGAAATGCAAGGGGGGTTTTTTGTGCTGTAATACTCATGGTACTTAATGCCCCAACCAAGAGCCAAGAACAGAATGTGCACTTCTACTACCTTGTCATGCACCTGGCAAACAAAGTGTGAGAGTAAAAAGGCTTTTCTCATACAAGCAGGTCAGGCTGATGTTGAAAGGGCATAAATGACCCTAAGAAGCATTTAGCCCATGTCTGGAAAGGGACAAACTCCTCTGAAAATTAGAGAGGCTAACTTGGATAGCATATCTGCCTGGTTCCACCCTAGATCTTTGTTCTGTGACTTGGTACCAAACCTATTTGAAAGGCTTTTTCTATCCTCTGGGTTACTGCCACTCAGAACAGAACTTCCCCTGAACATGAGGAGGCTGCTGAATATCCGTTCCCGAGACTGCTGGCTGTGTAACTAGAGCATCTCTTCCTAATACTTCTCTCTGGATTGCCAGCATCAGCCTTTCCCTGCAGTCTCACCTGCATGCTGCTGCTAGCAGAGACTTCTTGCCTTTGCCCCTCTCTGAGTCGTTTTCCTGTAAGCCTGAGCTCCTTCTGTGAGAAGTGTAGGTACCTAAAGCACGTTCCAGACAAAAGGAGATGGAGTCTTCACTCGTGGGATGGCAGCAGTCCCTTTGCTCAGCTGTCAGCAAGATGATCTGAGTGAGCCTCTCTGACCACATTTCATTCATGCTTCATACACAGCTTTCTCTGTGCACAGGGCTGGGATGAGCCTACTCAGAGATTCCAGCAGAAGTGACCAGAAGCTTCTGCTTTACAGGAGTGCTACATGGACCTGAGAGTGCCTTCCAAAAAGGCAGAGTCTTCTCTGAAGTAGTGCATAAGAAGATGAAAGTTTAGAACTAAAGGGCCTCCAACAGTAGGAGGAGTGTGAGGGTCTGTTACTCTGGCATGTTCTCAACCAAAGGCAGGAGGTGCCAGAAAATGTTGCTCGTGATAAGCTTCCCACGTGAGCTTGCAGGCACTGGTCATTAGAGAGCTGGGATAAGCACCAGATTAGCATCCAGAGTTATTGTGGGAAGGCAAGTGGGAGCTGAAACCAAGAGCAGGGAGGAGTTAAAGCCGACAGGGGGAGGAAGTGGGAGTGGAGTAAACCATTATGTCTTGGTAGTAGATTGAAGCAAGTAACAACCTCTAGACATCTATTCCATAATCTTGTCAGGATGGGGAGTTATTAGTGTCATCTGTGTGTATCCGTTCCATTCTTCCTGCATCCTGCTTGTACTGCCATGCAATTTAGGGAGATGACTTAGTGCCACTAAACACTTATGTGGAATGAAGTCAGTCCCTGTTCACGTGGATCCCAGTACACCATAAAAAAAAAAAAAAAGGCAAAGGACTTAGTCACCTACCTGAGGTGGGTTTATCTCCAAAAAAACCTTTTCTTATTCTTGGAGAATCTGAGGTGAAACAAGACAGAAGTGCAAGGCTCTGAAACACCAAAACTGCAGCATCTTGCAGGGAAACCGCTCTCTTGTCAGGAACTGAGAACAGAAAGAAGGCAGTCAAGGTCAGCAGTGAGAAACATTCCTAGAGGCTGAGGTGGGGAGGAGGGAGGCGAGTTGTGTGGGTCAAAGCCAGTGAAGTGAAACCAGAGCACTGGCTTGTTCTCAGTGGAACCAGGCTGTTCTCTCCCCTGCTTTCGGAGACCCGGAGAGCTGAGCCTTATTTTGCAATGTGAAAGATGTAGCAGTGCTAACTGCAGCTTTTTGATTCTTACTTCCTGCTCACTCTCTTCTTGCTCACTCCCCTTTCTCTCCTCAGCATACATTTGGCTGAGGCTTTTCTGCAGGGCTGGAGTCTGAAAGGTGGTAATGGCAAGGGCAAGGCAACACCTCTACCTGGGAGTATCTGACAGCCGCAGCAGGATGTCACTGAAGCCTGCCTTTATAACATTATTGCGTTTTATGTTTCCTGTAAGAGGGTGGGAGCACAGGACACAACATTACTCTCCTAATTAACTTAAGATTCCATGGTCTTTTCTAAAAATAATCCTGGCTTCTGCCCAGCCATCCTGCTAATAAAATAAACTAGCCTGCCAAAGCTCTACTAACTGTCAACATGGCTTGCTTTTCTGGTGTAGCCACCCCTTCCTCCTACAGCTAATCATTTACACGTCCTGACTTACCCAGACTGTTTGTCACAGACTACGAGCAGAGCTCTGGTGTGACCTCCCCATGTGGCCCTGAACCTTTCATCTCTGCCTGCACCAGGCAGTTGTCACGGTTTCCTCCTGCTCTGCCCTTCTTCCCTTTCCCACTCCACATCACCTCTGCTGCCACACACAGCAGCATCCTGCCTGGCTCCTGTGTGACTCATCATGGGCAAACAGCCCCTTCCCAAACATCCTGCACCATTCCTGCCCGGAGAGC